ATATATATATATATATATATATATATATATATGTATACTTATATACTTATATATATATGCCTTTTATAAAGCAGCACGCAGTTGATCAACAAATACACAGTATTAAGAAGACATTAGAAATTAAACCGGAAAAAAGATATACCCGTACGTTACAAATAAAACAGATTAATTTCATAATCGGTAGAAAACACCGGATTTGTAGCGGGTTGGTACACCAACTTGTGGTACAATTTCCAAGGGTACAATCCGATGAAAGAATACTACAATAAACGTCAATCCAATTATACTTACAAACAAATTCATAACTGTTGGCCATATAAATCCAGAATGCTCGAACAGTGTCCTAAAAATGATTAGTTTGTTCGCCTCATCTACGGTAAAAAATCTGAAAAATTCCAAGAAGTGTTTGATATTAAAAGTTTAAAAATAATCGCAAAACCCTACGCTTGAATAATAGGTACAATACACCGTGCAAATGAGCCGAAAAACTCCATAGTACCCTGCATTGAACCCTATAACATGTACAAATTACAATTTTTTTTTTTGAATATACAAGAGTAAAAGAAGAGAAAAAACTTATTTTATAGACAGTTTTTTTTACCTGTTTTCGGGGGCCTAACACTTCTGAATAAATAATACTGAGCGGTGCTGCGGTAAGTGGGAAGGCGAACGCGAGGACAAATACGTATCCGATGATGAAGAGCCAAAGAGGCACTCGAGTTGTATAAGCACACCACTCATAAGTTCTGTGGCAACCACCGGAATAATCGCCATCTTCTTCTGTTGCATTTGGTGCTAAATCATCATGTTTAATAAGGAAATCTTCGTGGAAGTTCTGCAGAATTTAAAATAGTAGTGTATAGATGTTTATATATTTATTCATTTATATATTAATATATATTCATATTTATTTTTATTTTTATTTATATACATATTTATATACATATATATTGCGTTAAATCTAACCAATACTTATGTAGTCTAGAGGACCATCGTAGAATTGCCATGGAAGTGTGAACAAATGATAGGCAATGAAGCACAGTGCACTTGCAACTAACATAAAACGTTTGTCACTGGAAAAAGGAAAAAAGAGTTTGCAAATGCAGAAATAAAACATTAAAATAGAAAAAAATATTAATTTTTCTTCATCTGTTTTGTTTCTAGGTAGTGACATATAATGTATTCTAAAGAGTGGCAATAAAATAAAACAATAAGAATGTTTTGATATGTCTAACCATTTGTAAACTTTTGTAAATGTAATAAAAAAATAGTTAACTAAGTCCATAGCACTTCCAACAAACTGCATTATACCAGTGTACAATATAGCTTGTTTGTTTGTCCAGTTGTACAGTGAAATTGTAAACGGAGTGGATAATCTGTAAGAAAATATATCAACGAGTAAAAATTTCTTTAGTATTATGAAAAAATACTAGGTTTACTTTTCAGAAACTTTAAAATTCTGAGACAAAATAATAAAGTAACATTAGAAGAGTAAAATTGAAAATTTCAGACATTTTCTAAAGAATGATATTATCCGTAAGATTTCTTAGAGAAACTTCTTCTGTAAATACAATTTATTTTTAATCTTTTCTTTCTGTTTTTTTTTTTTTTGACTTTAACTATTTAATAGTCAGAAAAGTTCTCACTGTGGTATACTTCGAGAAAATGCAAAACAGAAGGAACTTAGTTTTGGTAACAGTTGATCAAAAAAAATGTCTAATATTTTATTAAAATTAAGTGTCAATAGTTTCTTAGGGTCTTTGTTCGAAATTTTCTGCCAAAATAGTGTTATTTTTTGTTACGCTTTTGAGATACGTAAAAAGTGTATATTTGAGTCGTAATAAATATTTGCCGGAGCTTACGCTTCGAGGCTGACGGTAATTGCTTGAAACATGAAGTATAAGTAAATGCAGGTCATAGCTGCAGCTTTATCAAACTTTGGCACAACCATATATGGATCTATAATTGTCCGGTAAGATTAAATTTTTTGTCACTTCTTGTAGCATAGCTGCTAGCAACTTGCGATTTTTCGTACTTGTTGATTTTTCTCTTTTCTTTTTCATTCGAAACTTCAAGTTACAAACAAAAGAAAAGCGAAACAGTAAGTAGTAATTAAATGGCTTCTTTGAAAATTCAATAAACAAAGGAAAAACGGTCTGGAAGTATCAAAATAACTAAGCAGTGTGTTAAGAACCTTTAGTTATTTCCTTAGTGAGAATTCCAGCATAGTTTTCTTTGAAGCAGAAGATCAACACCAACATAGACACTAAAGAAAGCAAAGCCATAAGGAACGCTGGTGCTGTATACATGTTCAGGAAAATGTATTTGAATTCCAAACCGCTTCCAAGCGGTACAAATAAAGCCTAAAACAAAATTTGACGGTTTTTACATATATACTCTGTATGAGTAACTGCACAAGTAGATAGTCATAACTATTAATTGCCCAACATATGCATATATTTGGTATTAAAACATTGAAATTGTGTAATCATTCAAAACTGATGCAAAATGCTCACCTGAACTGCAGGACCTAAGGAAAGACCGAGCACATGAGAGGCAATGGTAAGCGGCATGACTCGGTCAAGATCTTTTTTATTTGTTGCCATAGAGCAGTAACCTCGCAGGATACATAAATTTCCTGTTTTTTTTTCAATCAGTACAAATATGATATAAGTTCAAAATGTGTCTTTAAAAGATTCAAGATAAAAATGAAAATTCACCAATTTTATTATCTGCAGAAAACACTAATAAAAATTCTTACAACTTAATCCACAAAGATCGGAAGATTTTAAGGTAAAAAACTTGTTGTTTTTTTTACTACAGTTACCTCCTACACTAAAGAAATGAGCTACCTGAGCCTAATCCGACTAGGATTCGAGAAAATAGCATGAACCACTGTGGGCGTGTTGGAATTATTGGTAAAAATCCGTATAGTAAATTTCCAAATAGCATCAGCAAAAAGCCACAAAGTGCTGGATATTTAGTAGACAGTGTTTGCTGATTCCATTCACCAAATATTTTACTGGAAATCATTTGTCCAACACTGAATACAGCCATAACCCAACCAAAGAAATTCAATGTTGCAGTTGGCTCTAACTGAAATTTACCTCAATCCAACAAAGATTGTCTACGAAAAATAACGTTTTATTTAACAAATTCTATAATATAAAAAGTGCAAAAAAAAGAAAAACGAATCAGAAACTACTAAAAAAAGTATTGTAAGGTAGGAAAGTCAAACCAATTTTAGATATGGCCACATTGATGTCACAAAGATGGAAAATTGAATTCCGATTAAGATTTGTAGCAACAGGCATATCCATATTGGTTTCCACTCGGTACGAGTTTCTTCTAATGCTTCTAAAGCTTTCTGACTGAAAAAAAACCTTTTTTTCTTACTTAGAACAAGAAATAGTAATAAAAATGTACAAAGAATTATAAAGTAATAAATTTTGTTTTAGTTACTATACAGCATTTTTTAATGCTAATCAAAACAAAATTTTTTACTCTTATCACTGTGGTAGTTCGTCAACAAAAAATTTTGGTAATATTATTTTGTAACAACATTCGATTTATTTATTTTTTGACACAGATATGACCATCAAAAATTTTCAATATTCAACTGACTTTTACTACTCCTTTTTATTTTGATTTCAGTTTTAGCAGTTTTTTCATTACTCAAATCTAAAAAATATTCAAAACCGGTGTTTCTTCAGTCTTTTTTCAAAATAAACGTAAAAGAAAAACTTGACTCAAAGAGAGTTTAGCCTAATTATAGTTGAAATAACTTTTTAAAAGTCAGAAGTAATGCGTTACAAAAACTGTCAATAGGTTAAAGTAGGTTAGCGATAGCGCTTGGTAAATTTGTTGCACATCTTTACAGACTTTACTATTTACAAACTCTTCAAATAAAAAAGTGTTTTTTTTTCACAGCCATCGATGAAGACGACAAGTTTGCTGTTAGGTTTCCAAAAGTTTGGAGCGAAAAAGTCCTAATTTGAAAACTGCTGTTGAAGGGTTTACAGTTGCCACTACGACTGATTCAGACTGTCGTTACAGTGTTAACCAATTTGAAACAACTGAAGTAGTTTGTCGATTTTTCTCAGAACTTATAAAATTTGATGCTACTTTATCTTATAAATACATGAAATTTTATTTTGCTTTTGAAGCCTTGTATTTATTCTTTTTGTAAATTACCTTGTCTCCTTCTTCTACCCTCATCTGACTCTGAATTTATATCAATTTTCGTCAGTTCTTCCCACTGTGATTGAAATCTACTAAACGGTTTGTTTACTGAACTATAAACCATATTCATTAAGTTCTCTTTTTTAAGTCTTATATGAGAGTTCTCTAAAAGGGCTGATATAGCCCTATAAAGCTAACAATGATAAATTTTTCTTTACAGTATCGTTTATCGGTCAAAAGATTCAAACGGGTAACTAATTAAACCATAAGTTCAGTGCTCATTCTTTCTTTAAAAAAATTATTTTTTTATAGTGCCTAAATTATTTAGCAAAAATGAATAAATAAATAAAAATTT